GTGTGTGTGTGTGTGTATGTGTATGTGTGTATATATGTGTGTCTCTGTGTATGTGTATGTGTGCTTGTGTGCATGTGTGTATGTGGCCACAGAGGCCCGAGGCATCCAACTTCCTAGAACTAGGATTGTGGGTGGTTGTGAGCCACCTGATGTCAGTGCTGGGAACCAAACTCCATCCTCTGCAAGAGCAGTGTATGCTCTAACCACTGAGCTGTGAGTCTCCACAACCCCCCACCCTGATCACGCTTTCCAAGCGTGTGGTCTGCTTGTCTTTCTGTCCTTCTATCCTCTCTGCCCCAAAGTCTGAAGTACCCCTATTGTTCTCTTCCCCAGGGAGCAAGTCAGGGTCACCCACGAAGATGCCCCCTCAACCCAGAACTACCTCCTGGCCCTCTGTCCCAGACAAGCCCAGAAATCCCACCTATGGCCCCAACATCTGTGATGGGAACTTTGACACCGTGGCCATGCTCCGAGGGGAGATGTTTGTCTTCAAGGTGAGGGGAATCAAAGAGGCCAGATTGTTTGGGGAAGGAAGGACTTTCGGCAAGGAAGCTGGGCAGAAATAGTAACAGAAGGACGGAGAACTAAAACCATAGGACTGAGGGCGGTGGAGATGCTGTGGGGGCTGAAGAGGACTAAGGGATAAGACATAGTGTGTTCTCATCTTTACTGGCTTCTAGGAGCGATGGTTCTGGCGGGTGAGGAATAACCAAGTGATGGATGGATACCCAATGCCCATCGGCCAATTCTGGAGGGGCCTCCCCGCATCCATCAATACTGCCTATGAGAGGAAGGATGGCAAATTCGTCTTCTTCAAAGGTAACCAGACATTTCCTAGTCTTGGGGAGTTGGAAGGATCTCCTTACATGAGCCGATTCTGCTTCACTCCCAAAGACCTCAGAGCCAAGGTGAACCCGGACTCTCTCCTTCTCTCTTATCCCAGGAGATAAGCACTGGGTGTTTGACGAAGCTTCCCTGGAACCCGGGTACCCCAAGCACATTAAGGAGCTGGGACGAGGACTGCCGACTGACAAGATTGATGCGGCTCTCTTCTGGATGCCCAATGGGAAGACCTACTTCTTCCGGGGAAATAAGTAAGACCTCAGACCCTTAGCCCCAAGCCTCTCTACACACAAACTACTACCATTGCCACCCCAAGTAACCTCATCCCTAAGTTCTGAAGAAAGGCCCGCTTTTACCCGAAGGTGTTGCCCCGGAAAAGGAACTGGCTGAGCCTTCACTGTTACCTAGCAATAGGCAGTTTTTCTTGGTGCTGCGTGAGTGGGATGTGACCCGGTCACCATTTCAAACCTGGTCATTTGATGCCTCCTGCCCCCAGCACCCTGCCCCACCCCAGCCACCAGGCACTGTCATTAAGGGGCTGCTGGTGGCTCCTTACAGCCTAGACCCTCCCTTCCACCTCCTCCTTCCGCCTCTCTCAGCTGCAAGGCCCTCATTACTCAAAACCCTTGTCCCCAACCATGTCCACAGCTACCCTTTGTTCACCGGCACACTCTCTCTTGCGTCTGCTAACCTCTGAGGGCATGCCCAGTATCCAACCACTCCCCTTTCCTTCCCCTCCCTCAGGTACTACCGATTCAATGAGGAATTCAGGGCAGTGGACAGCGAGTACCCCAAAAACATCAAAGTCTGGGAAGGAATCCCTGAGTCTCCCAGAGGGTCATTCATGGGTAGCGATGAAGGTGAGTGGGGTGGCCTGTGGAAGACATTGACGATGGTAGCAGTGGGATCCAGGTCGCTTGCCTGGAACTAGCCAAGTGCTTTCACATGTGCTACCCCTCAGTCCTTCCACTCTTCCAACCTGGTACTGTGACCTCCTCCATTTTACACGGGAGGAAGTGAACGCAGAGGAAGATTGAGAGGTAAGCTTAGCCGGCCATCACACTAACCGTGCTTTCTTCTGTACCCTCCTCTTTGGGGCCTTTCCGGACTCCACTCGGTTTCTCGTCCTCCTACGCTGCTCACTTGGTGCCCTCCAGTCTTCACGTACTTCTACAAGGGGAACAAATACTGGAAATTCAACAACCAGAAGCTGAAGGTCGAGCCAGGGTACCCCAAATCAGCTCTTCGGGACTGGATGGGCTGCCCGTCAGGGGGCAGGCCGGAGGAGGGGACTGAGGAGGAGACGGAGGTCATCATCATTGAGGTAGACGAGGAAGGCGGTGGTGCTGTGAGCGCAGCCGCCGTGGTCCTGCCTGTGCTGCTGCTGCTCCTGGTGCTGGCGGTGGGCCTTGCCGTCTTCTTCTTCAGACGCCACGGGACCCCCAAGCGACTGCTTTACTGCCAGCGTTCGCTGCTGGACAAGGTCTGACCCCCACCGCTGGCCCACCCGCTTCTACCACAAGGACCTTGCCTCTGAAGGCCAGTGGCAGCAGGTGGTGGCCGGTGGGCTGCTCCTACCCGTCCTGAGCCCCCTCCCTCCAGCCTCCCTTCTCAGCCCCTAATTGGCCTCTCCCACCCTCACCCCCGGCATTGCTCTGTCCATAGGTGGGTCCCCTGAGGGCTGAGCAGGAAGATGGTCCGGCCTCTGGCCCTCAAGGGAACCTCACAGCCTGGTGTGTGTCCAGCCCCTATTTGAATGTTGTCAGGGCTCATGCACTCGAAGGCAAGACCCTCTGACCTCACGGGCAGAGGCCAAATGGGGTCACCTGCTTCTCCATCCACCTTACTACATACCTTAAACCTTTGAACTCTGACCTCAGGAGGCTCTGGGCATGTGAGCCCCATAAGTACCAAGTGTACCCAGTTGGCAGCCTCTCACCACTCCTGACTAAAAGAAATTTTAGGAGTGTGTGTGTTCAGAGGTGGAAAGATTGCTCAGCTACACTAAAGACTTTGGTTTAAAAGAGAATAAGAAGAAAGAAAAGAGAGAAAGAAAAAAAAAGCTCAAAGAGAGTGTTGGTGGCTTAGGTAGCCAAGTTCCTCTCCACAAAGATCTGCCTCTATCCAGCCCAGCCAGGGGAATGGCCAAAGGAGCCTGAGCCATTAAGGACTAAATGGGTCTGAGGAGAGCCTTGGAAAACCTGATGCCTCCTGAACGTTAGCCTGGGATGTCAAGCTCAGGGTTGGAAGAGCTGAAATCAGGGGGAATGGCCCAGGTGCAGTGAGGTCAAGGGGAGACAGCAGGATCCGGAGCATGGAGGATGAGCGGGATGGCTCGTAGCAGAAAAAAACCTTGTTCAAATGCAAGTAGCAGGGGCTGGGACCCAAAGACAGCAATGAGAGAGGACAGGAAGCGAGGTGTGGTGGTGGCAGTGTATGCCGGGAATGTAGGCAGAATGCAGGGCACACACAGGGCCCTGTGATACCCAGGAGTGGGCTTTATTGGATCTCTCAGAAAGGGTCTTACGGAAACCACACTGGCCTCTGTCTCCTTTCTCACTGACAGTGTGGAAGGGAAGGATAAGAGTGGAGATGGGAGTGAAAAGAGCATATAGACAGGGACTGGGGCCTCAGCAGAGACCAGCGGAGGCTGTCAGAGGCCTGGGCTGGCTCCGTCTGCCTCACTTCCCTAGTGCAGCAGGTGCTTGGGTGCTTCTGGGTAGGATGGGCCTCCATTTCCCGGTGCAGGCGCTCCTCGGCCCATTTTCCCTGTGTCCTGCCGTTTCTCTTCCCTATCCAGCTGACCCACTTAAAGTCTCCTTCAGCCACTGGAGGTGGTCATGGTACTGGGGACTTGGGAGAGAGAGTGAGACCCTGTGGAGGGAATGAGAGGAGTGTCTGGGTGGGGTTTGGGGATAGGGAAAATGGGGTGAACGGTGCTGGAAGCCCAGCTAAATTTCTGTTGTTTGGGTTTTTTGTTTTGTTTTTTTTTTAATGTATATTTTTATTATAATTATTATATATGAATGCCATTGAAATCGTTCCTTTTTGTTAATGGGGGGCATGGGGAGGGGCGGGGGTGGGGGGCAGAGGCAATTGACCCCAGAAACCTGCAGGGCGGGGCTGGGTCAGGGCCCTCTAAGGACATTTTTTTTTTTTGACCTTGTTCAACCTTTCCACGAAGAATAAACTGTGTTTCACATTCTTGGTGTGACTGTAGCTTGGTGTAGGGGTGAATGAGATGTGACCAAGCAGAGCCAGGAAGAGCAGACATTCAGAACAGCATTTTCCGTGATGCAGGGGTTTAGTATTTGTCGTAAATATTTATTTTTAGTGGGCTGATAGGATTTAAGACTGGGGGTTGGGGATACCTCCACTGGAGATGAGAGGATTGGCAGAACCCAGCTCTCCCCCCAAAGCCTTAAAAGGCTACCTTTGAGAACCAATCCTGCCAGATAGGAGGAAGTGGTCAAGCTGAGGCCATTTGGAAAATCTTCCTAAATTACATTCTGCTGCCGTGTGATCTGGCCACAGACTTGTTTCTTCATACATCCGTCCCTGTAGCAAGGGTATTCCCATGATCACATTAGTCTGAAACACAGCCACAGGCCCCGGGACCTATGAAGGTTCTGCTAAATCCAGGCATGGCGGCACATACCTTTACTCTTCAAGGCTGAGGCAGGCATATTTTTGGTAGTTTAAGGCCAGCACTTTGGAGGCAGAGGCAGGTGAATTTCTGTGAGTTCAAGGCCAGCCTGGTCTACAAAGTCAGTTCCAGAACAGCCAGGGCTGTTACACAGAGAAATCCTGTCTTGAAAAACAAAACAGGGGAAAAAAAAAAAAAAAAAAAGCCAGCATGGTCTACATATGTCAGTTCTAGGCCAGCTGGGGCTACATAGTAAGACCCTGCCCTTAAAAGAAGAGGAGGAAAAGGGAGAGGAGGAGGAAGAGATGGTTCTTAAAGGCCCTGGACTCTGCTGTTGGATTAGGAGACTGAGAAAAAAAAAAAAAGGTTGCCCCATTGCCCCATGGTCTGGTCTCCAAGGAGTGTCTTATCCCTGGCAGAACAGTGTTTCTCAATTGCCCAGAAGAACCAGGACCCTCAGGTTGGAAGGGTAGAATAACAACGCTTTGTTTCCATTTTCCATAGAAACTGCTGCCTAGACAGGGTTCCCAGGCAGTTGACCCTCCCTTCCTCCAAAACCAGCCCGAAGGGAGGGGTCAGCTCAGTTGCTGAGTCAGCTCAGCTGGAGGAGAGCAGCCCCCTTCTCCCGCCTTCCTTTCCTGCTTCAGCCCAGTCTTCCCTGGGCTCCAGCCCAGGTCCTCCACAGCCTGCCTTTCAGAGGCTGGCCCCACCCATGCCATCCTCCCTCCAGCTGCTCCCAGGGGTAGTTGCTATGATTACTTTGGCAGATGGGGTACCCCACCTTCCTGCCAGCCAACAACCCTGACCCTATGACTGGTCACCTGTGCCTCTGCTGCCAACAGCTGTTTGGCAGGGCCTGTGCATCTCAGCGAAGTTAGGCATAACCACCACCACCACCCTCACCAGAAAGGACTGAAACTGAGAAGGTGGCCCTGGGGAAGTCAGGAGCATCTAGGGGTAGTCAAGCCCATACATGTGACAAAGAAAAAAAAATTAAAAGATGAGCTCACAGCCCCTTTGTGTTTTTGTGGTCCACATCTGGAGGCAATTACAGATGTTATCCAGAGGGAATTCTGCAAAACACAGCTGGAGCCAGTGGAAGAGCCCAGGAGGGGGTACTGCCAGAGGGGAGAGGAGGGGGAGCCCAGGGATGGAGTGCGGTTTCCCCATCACGAGGAAATTGTTTGGCTGAGATTCTGGAATCACAAGATGCTCTCAGAAGCCAAGGGGAGAAGTGGGAATGCAGAACTAGAGACAAAGGCAGATGAGCTGGACAGTGGATTCCGCACAGAGAGGACTGTGTGGCAGAGGCCAAAGGGTCTGGTGCTGATCATGTACTTGGCCCTGCCCACCCAGTGACCTTGGAAGGTGCCTTCGTGGTCATAAGGCCCCACTTGAGCGATCCACCATGTCAGGATAGTATGACAGGAGGCAGAGGGCCCTCTGGCTCCCAAGGACCTGCAAACTGTTTTCACTGGCCTGGCCGATTTGTCTGCTGGGCCTGACCCAGTTTCTATGGTTCCAAGTTCCTTTATTCGAAAGCAGCACTTGTGAGTTGGGGCAGCCAGAAGGAGCCAAGTGGAATATGTGAGGAGGTTTGGGCTGCCCTGGGGATACTGGTCTCAGAAGATAAAGGAGTGGAAACGAGGGCCAAGAAGGAGCAGTGGTTTGCCCATCAACGCTAACACTGGCTCATTTTACTGACAAAGAAACTGAAGCCTGCTAGGTTACAGTTCCTTGGTCCAAATTTAAGCCCCATATCAGGGATTAGGGATGTGGCTCAATGGTGGAATATTTGCCTAACGTGAGCAATACTGAATTTGATCCTCAGCAATGCAAAACAAAACTAAAACCCACACCAACCTGGGTTGCTTTTGTCTACGCAAGCAGAGCCCAACAAGGTTCCTTGGGCATCTCTTCCAGCGTAGACCTATGCAGCTGGGTGGCTTTGTGGGAGTATGCTCGGGCGGGGGGGGGGGGGGGTGTGGGGGTGTGTGTTTTTGTTTTGTGTGGCGTGGGGCACGTGAGGGGGGGCAGCGGGGGGGGGGGGGGGGGGGGGGGGGGGGGGGGCTGTCAGTGTGTCTGTGTTTGCTTCTTGTCGCGTGCAGCACATCAGCGGAAGCAACCAGAATGGGGGAGAGGGGGCATGGGAGAGGTCCCTCAGAAAGAGAAGCCAATCTGCAGCCTACCCCTTTGCTTCTCAGAGGTAGGAGCAGGTGCTCAGAAGGAAGGGACTACAGAGACTCAGAAACTAGACAGACTAGAGTACTTCCAGACAACATGAGTAGGGCGTGTTGTTGAACACCTTGGTAAGAGGAGCAGGACGCCAAAACCTTTGGAGGAATAACCGCTATTCCCATAAGTCCTCCAGAAAACTCCAGCCTGAGCTGGGGCAGTTTTCCTACAGTCCCTGTACCAAGTTTGTACCCATCCCCAATCTAAGTTCATCTCCTTTAGGAGACCAGTTTTCTATCCCTATCCCTACCCCTAGGACTTCTTGCCTTTTTTCCTCAGTCTTGGGGAGCTGGGGAGACCCAGTGGCAGACTGCTCTGGGACCAAAGAGCCAGGGCCTGGAAGGCAGGCAGGCCTAACTGGACAGAAACCAGCTTCCCAATGAGCTCACACACATACTTTCCATGCTGGCGCGGCGCCAATGGCTTAGCTCCTTCCAAGCCTGCCTTCCCCAGCCAGGCTCAGGCCCCTTTGTCCTCCCTTGCCACTAGTCCTGATGCTCCACAGCAGGACCATTAGACCCCTCCAACCAGGGCTGTCATCACGTCCCCAGGGGGCGGCTCACTCTGCATACATGCTGAGGCCAGGTCCCCCTCAAGCTACTTATCCCCAGTCATTGTGGCCTTCATGGCTTATAGAAGAGATCAGCTGCTTCCAGGTTACAAAAACCCATGTCTGCAGCTGGGGAAATGCTTCCATTGGTAGAGACTTTCCTGCCACATGCAAGACCTGAGTTGGATCCCAGCACCACATAAAACTGGGCGTTGTGACATACATCCATAACCCTAGCATTCAGAAGATGGAAGCAGGAAGATCAGAAGTTCTAGCTTGGGTTACATGAAACACTATCTAAAAACAGAGACCTACCCCTGGGCAGAGAATGGCAGGAAAGCAAGCAGACAGAAAAGGAGGCACTGTAGTGTATGTCATCATCGGAAGGGCATCCTCCGAGTGCCCAAAGTAGCTCACTGACTCAGGGACCACCTGGGAACTGCCTCAGCACGGGTCATATCCTGTTCACTCACTGGATTTCCCATCCCAGGCACTTCTCTAATTCAGGGAAGAATGGGGGAAGTTGGAGGAAGGCCAAGCTGCCCCAAAAAGAGGAACAAAAGATGGCTCCTTACACAGCAGTGGTGGCCCAAGCCTTTAATCTAAGCACTTGGGAGGCAGAGGCAGGCAGATCTGTGAGTTCAAGGCCAGCCTGGTCTACAGAGCAAGCTCAAGACAGCCAAGGCTACACAGAGAAACCCTGTCTCAAAAAACATAAACAAACATACAAAAAAAGCAAACAAAAAAAAACTGGCTTCTTGCAAGTTAGTGAAAAAGATAAGATGTCAATGTATCTAATACACAACACTTAAGAAAATAGAGCCAGTATCTTTAAAGGACAACTGTGTGCTCCCCATTAGAGCACACAGTCCTTGAATGTCACCCTGTTCCTGAGTAAGTGCACCACATTCAGGTCTTGTTTCCACAAAGGCCAGAAGAGGGCACGAGGCATCCTAGAACTGAAGTTACAGACAATTGTGAGCCTCCCTGTGTGTCCAGAGAACTGAATCCAGGTCCTCTGCAAGAGCAGCTAAGAGCCTCATCTCTGCTATCTCTCCAGCTCTGAGACTCTCCTGTGTCTCAAGGTGAGTACCTGTGTCCTCTGTTCTGTTCTCATCACCTGTTGTTCTTGAGCTTTGTTCACGATGGTTTGTGTCGCTACATTTCATTTCTTTGCTGTATCAGATCTCCTTGTACAACTATTTCACAGTTTCACAGCTTTATATTTTCACCGGTGTGTGAAATCGCCAGGCTCGGTCATCTTGGCGAGGTGGGGCAATAGCTCACTGTCATTTCAGTGCGTGTTTCTGTAAATCCTAACGAGATTGACCGTCTTTTCTCTTCTTCTTCTCATTCATGCTTTTGTTTTATTTTGTTTTGTGGACATAGGGTCTCACTATGAAACCTAAGCTGCCCAAGAACTCCTGATCCTCCTGCCTCAGCCTTCTAAATGCTGCGGTTACTGGTGCGTACTGCCACGCGTATTAGTGTGTGTGTGTTTGTGTGTCTGTGTGTGTGTGTGTGTGCACGTGTGTGCGTACTTGATGGGGTGGGCATGTATGCACAGCACACACGTGGAGATGGCTCTCT